CCTTTCCCCCTACAATAAAGAAGGGTGTTTCTACTCCTCCAATTCCCCATTGTGACAACCCACAAATCACAAAGAATTAGCAAAGGCTTCACTTTGAGTTGATCAAAGGTATCCTTTCTTCTCTCTCTTACTTATATCTTATACCTATAAAATAAAATATTTTTCATAATATCCATTCTTCTCATTTATTTACTTTTCCCCACTTTTTTTAAGAAGGTGGAGATTGACAAGCAACTTCAACTTGGTACCATTTTGACAATAGTTTGAGAAAACGAAAGGCAAGCTAACAATCATTTATCACTGGTTAAATTCGTGTTGACTACTCTATTTTAAAATATTTTGGTTAATATATGTTTCATAAATTTTTCATAAATATTTTTTACCTCAATTTTTTTATATTTTTAAATATACTTTTCCTACCCTTATTATAAATAATGATTGTTTCTAAACCTCGAATTCCTCGTGATTTAATATACAAGCATCTTATACTTTATTTTTCATTTTCATATATATCTTTCCCTTATGTTATTAACGATTATTCCTATACCTCAAATTTCTCGTGATTCAATCTATAAATAATGGTTATTTCATTATATAGCCTTTTCCCCTACTATAAATGGGTGTTCCTAATCTCTAATTCTCCATTGTGAGTTGTGAAAATTCAAAAATTACAAAGAGTAAGTAAAGACTTCACTTTATTTGACACAAAGGTATTCTTCTCTTCCCTATTTTTTTCTTATATCTTACTAGACACATGTGCCAGTGCATCGCACATGCTTAATACTTCAGTACTTTTTATTTAAACTTATATGACATAAATAAAATTTAAAAGGTGGTCAAATTTTACTATGATTTTCAAAGGAATTAATTTTAAACTTTACAAAGTATCCCTCAATTGGTGTTTCTTAACGCACATTAAAAGAATAAAAAAATTAACATGAAATACACGTGCAATGCACGTGTTCATAGAATAATATGATAATAGTGTCTGAAATATTTATAGATTTTTTTTAGCAATCCTATCTAGGTTGTTGGATATCCTTTGGACTTCTCTCCTAAAATGCATAGTTGTTACTAATCATGTATATCCTTTTAACAATTGAGATTATTCTTAAAAATATATTTGAATCTTAACTTTTCTATTTGAATTTAATATTTAATACATAATAAGCATTTACATCTAAATCTAAATTTCATACATTCTATCCAAAGATATATATCTCGAAATCATAAACAACATATACATTTAATTATGTTTATCAAAATATGAAATGTAGGTGAAACACATGTTTTTAAGAACAAATTTTTTACCTCACTTTTCTCCGCCCTGTTATAAATGAATGTATCTACCTCTTATATTACTCGTGATTCAGTCAATAAATATCTTTTACCTCATTTCTACACCTCAAATTTTCTCGTAATTCTATTCATAATATCTTTTACTTGATTTATTTTTATAATTCCATATATACCCTTTCCCCCTACTATAAAGAGGGGTGTTCCTACTCCAACAAATTCCCCATTGTGACAACCCACAAAGGCTTCACTTTGAGTTGATCAAAGTTATCATTTTCTTGTCTTCTCTTACTTATATCGTATACCTATAAAATAAAATATTTTTCATAATATTTATTCTTCTCATTTATTTACTCTTTTTTCCCTTCTTTTTTTTCAAGAAGGTGGAGATTGGCAAACAACTTCAACTTGGTCCCATTTTGGCAGCTGTTTGAGAAAACAAAAGGCAAGTGAATATACATTTATCACCGGTCAAACTCATTTTAACTATTCTATTTTAAAATATTTTTGTCAAGACATGTTTTGTGAATTTTTAATAAATATCTTCTACCTCAATTTTCTTGTAATTTTACATATACCTTTCCCACCCTTGTTATAAATGATTCTCTAAACCTCGAATTCCTCGTGATTCAATAGATAAATATCTTTTACCTCTTTTTTTTTCATTTTCATATATATTTTTTCCTCGTGTCACAAATGATTGTTCCTATACCTCGAATTTCTCATGATTCGATCTATAAATATTGGTTATTTCCTTATATGGTCTTTTCTCTTACTATACATGGGTGTTCCTACCCCTCTAATTCTCCATTATGAGTTGTGAAAACCCAAAAGTTACATAGAGTAAGTAAAGGATTCACTTGATTTGATACAAAGATATCCTTCTCATCTCTAATTCTTTCTTATATCTTACTAGACACAGGTGCCCGTGCGTTGCACGAGTCTAATATTTTAATATTTTTATTTTAATTTATGTGATATAAGTAAAATTTAGGAAGATAATTAAATTTTAATATGATTTTTAGATATTTAAGTTGTTAATTACTTTTTTTTGCACAAATTCAATGTGAAGAGGCCCATACTTAAAGCATTTTGTGTATCGATCATTTATTTTTTACTCAAAATAGTTACAAGATATAAAAAGTATTGTCGAAATTCAAAATAATAAAGCAATAACTATCGAATATGAAACTAAAACTAAAAGTCATAGCTAAAATGGATTCCATAATTTCGAAAAAACTATACACTAATTAAATTAAAGTTTCCGAAGCACGCTTTAATAGAAACGTCCACGGATACGTGCTTGCTGCAGCGTGAAGTCTTGAGTTTAAAACTAAAAATCTTAGCTAAAATGAATTTCATAATTTAACCAAAAAAAATACACTAATTAAATTAAAGTAGAATAAAAAAAATAATTTTTTAATTTTTTTTTGGAAAATATTATACAATGATTAAATTAAGGGCAAATTACAGATATCACATACTTTTAAGGTTAAATTACAATTTATTCCTTAAAAGTTTATAATTACAAAAAAAAATTCAAAATGGATACAATACTATGAGCACTGATACATAATCTAATGTGAGAGAATCATTAATGGTTAAGTAAGATACACTACATTTTATACATGAGACACTAATCTAATGTGCATATTATACATGATACACTAATTTGATACGAGAGATACACTAATCTGATGCGCGAGATACACCAATTTGTTGCGTGAGGTATATTTTATACACAATACATTAATTTAATGCGCGAGATATATTAATTTGCTGCGAGAGATACAATAATTTGATGCGCGAAAATGAGAGATTTTGAAAAATTGTAAAACTTATAGATGATAATGATAATAAGTAAACTAAAGTGTAAATTTTGTATATAGTATTTTATACAATAATATTATCAAGTTATGGCATTAGAGTTTCAATTTCATTGTGTAGCATTTAATATCTCACTCTATAGCATTTTATTAATAATTATATTGTTAATTAAAATTTATTAAAAAGAGTTGTTATTAACAATTAATTAAAAATTAAGGGGATAAAGTAATAATGGATAATTAATGTTAATAATTAACACACTGACAACACAAATTATGAAACTTTTGTTTCTTTATTAATTGCTACATTTAATGCAGGTAGCACTTTTTTTAATATGAATAGTTGCACTTTTTAGGGAGTTTAATTAAAGTTAAATATATGATTAGCACATTTTTAGGAATATTAAACATTTTCAAATTATCATCATTGCCTTAAATATCTCTAGTTAGTTAAAATAATATTATTTTTTTGAATTAATTCCTTAAAAAACTCAACCAGATAATAACAAATATTTTCGAATTTTAAGAATACTTTCAGATTGTCATTTTAAAACATATTTGGATCAATGTTACAAGTAGTCTTCTTTCCAAAATTTCACGATTATTTTCAGATTGCTTTCAACGTATAAGTCATTTTTTCTAAAAATTCAAGAATATTTTCATAGCTGCATATTTCACTTCTTTTTTTTAGTAACCTGATAAATTTTGGTGTACAATTTATGTTTCTATTTAAATTATAATATATGTTTTTATCTTACTTTTGTATTGAAAATGTACTGTGTTTGTTTAATTGGAGTATTGTATAGGGCATTGAATGATATATTAAATGTGTATGAAGTGTGTATGAATTATATGAACTGATTGTAAGTTTGTGTAACGTTGAAGTCTAAATTTTTTTTAATAGTGTATGAAGATTATACGAAACGTGTATCATTTGTGTATGAAAGTCCATTTATTTTTTTTCAAAATTACAGTATATGTTGTTGTGCAGAATTTGAGATAATACGAGAAAATATATAAACGCGAAAAACAAGACAACAGATTTACGTGGTTCACCAATAAACTGGCTACGTCCACGGGAAGAGAGGGGGCAGTTTTATTATGGAGAGGCAAAAACAGAGTTACAGAATAGGGTTTGCCATAGCGAGACCCCCGTCCATTCTGTTTGTAGCGGGTCCGATTCAAGGCATTCAACATATGTTTCTAATGGAATTAGAATATATGTTTTGTATTAATTTTGTACAGCGGGTAGCCCAAAACTTGAAAGATGAAAGGGGTTTGCTGACTTGAAATTCAAAAGGACAAAAATGACTTGCAGTAGATGTCGTCAAGTTGGACACAATAGAAAGACATGTTCAAATTATCTTGTGCAAAAATAATGATTTCGTAAGGTTACATTTGTTATTGTGTTCTTTTGAATGTTAGAAACACGTTTGTTTTATTGAGTGCAGTTGTTATCATTAACATTTATAAAATTTGATTTCGTAAAAAATTGTCATATTTATATTATTTGTTTATGTTACATATGTCAAAGTTCAATATGACATTCATAATTCATACAATGTTTATACATTATAAATATACAACTATACTGCCATTCATAAAATATTCATATATTATTCATACAATGTTCATATATGTACCATTTGTTTCTGTTACATATATCCAAGTTCAATATGGGATTCATAATTCATACAATGTATATACATTATATATATACATTGAACTTTACTATCATTCATAAAATGCTCATATAATATTCATACAATGTTCATATATATGCCATTTGTTTCTGTTACATATATCAAAGTTCAATACGACATTCATAATTTATACAAAATTTATACATTTTCATACAATGTTCATATATTTTTGCATATTGCAATCGAAATTTATACAAAAATCATACACATTTAATAAAGTGCAAATATCCATTCAAGCATACTACCATCAAATACAACGATTAATATATTATGACATATATAGTTAAATATATTTTATACAACATGCAGACATGAGTGTTACAAGATCTATACAATGTTCATATTTTTACTTTCCTCTTGTAACATTTTTTTTCAATTGCTTTCACTGTTGACACTGCTTTTCTTTTAGAAAGACTAGACCTTACTAGTTCATCATTCGACTTCTTCTCTAATTCCATCGCAGCTGTATAGCCTGAGATTTGCGATTGAATTTGAGTTATACATAGATCAAAAGATGGTATTTCAACCATGAAGTTACCGGTATAGTTTGTACCTATTGTGAATCTCCTTAGGTTATTTGGTTTAGACATTGTATTCAACAACCCAGATCCTAAAAATTTATAGACAAATAAATATTAAAGAATTTGAGATAAACAAATATAAAACTTGAACAAAACCTGCATTATCTATACAACATAAATTTCTCCTAAAATCAAGCAACAACATATAAAAATTAAATAATTTGACAAAAGAATCAGAGAAAAATAAAACTTTAAGAAATAAACTTGTTTGATGATCTATACAACACGATTTTTTCCGAAAATCATGCAATATTGCGAATTTGATGATCGAAAAATAAAAAACCTAATTTTGTGAAAGATTGATAGAGATGTAGTTGAATAAGATTTTAAGCTTAATCTGATTTTGAGAATTAAGTTTAAAGCTTGAAAGGGTTTGTACTTGAAGATGACATTAAGCGTGCGAATATGTATGTTCAGATTTAATATGACAGAGAAATTAGGCTTGTTGTCTTTAATTAATTAATAGAGAGAGAAACGTGTGTTGCCTTTATCTGATTAATAGAGAGAGAAACGTGAAAAAAACGTGCGAAAATAATATGATAGAAAGAAAAGAGTGTAAATAGGGGAGAGGTTGAGTGTAATTGGGGAAAGATAAAGTATTGGCTGATATGGGGATGGGTAGTTATTGAGTAATTTTTTAAAAGGTAACTATATAATATGAAGTTTAATTAATATTTAATAAATAATAATTTATGATTTATATTATAAACTTTAAAAGATAATTAATTAATGGGATAATGTCCAAGTACCCCCTCAACCTATGCCCGAAATTTCAGAGACACACTTATACTATACTAAGGTCCTATTACCCCCCTGAACTTATTCTATTAATAATTTTTTACCCCATTTTAGCTTACGTGGCACTATCTTGTGGGCCCAACGATGGTTGATTTTTTTTCCAAACTAGTGCCACGTAGGCTAAAAAGGGGTAAAAAATTACATATAAAATAAGTTCAGGGGGGTAATAGGACCTTAGTATAGTATAAGTGTGTCTATGGGATTTCGGGCATAGGTTGAGGGTGTACTTGGGTATTTTCCCTTAATTAATCAGTAATAATTTAAAAGAATTTGTTGATAAAAGGTAAGTGGAATAAATGAAACTAATTATTTAAAATAAAATAATTATTAATTAAATAATAAAATAATTTTTTTTATTAATATATTATTAGTTAATATGCTATAACTTGATAATAATATGGGCAAAAGTATTCATTACCCCCCTGAACTTGAAGCTTTTTATTCGGTGTACACCTAAACTTTATTTTGTTTGAATTACCCCCCGGAACTTTTTTATTCATCCAACACGTGCACCTTTTTTGTTCACCTGGCGTAGAAATTTAAATCACACTCTACTAGGTGCGTGAGGGAGAGATTTTTTACAATAAAAAAATGTAAAATCTCTAATTTTTTCAATATTGATCGGCCGCAGATGACATCACGTCGTTGTCGTCGTCATCTTCGTCATTATCGAAGCCCAAGGGCCAGTTCTTCGGATAGCAGTGATGTTTCTAAATGTTGAAAATGGATAAAGATTTCGATTCAGCTGATTGAGCAAGGTGAGAGGAGATGGAGTGTTATGTGAGCTGGAAGAAACTGTGTTGTTTTGTAGCGGAAAGGAGGTTAGAGTGAAGAATTGATTTTGCATCAAAAAGAGAGATGAGAAGAGGAGATAAGGTGGTTGGTGGTAGAGATTTACGGCGACTGGGAAAGGAGTTGGAATATGATGTTTATTTTTTGCCATTTTAATTTATCTAGGTGGCGATTATTTATCCAAGTGGAAATCCACATCATCACTATTTTTGCCAGCTGACGCGCGTATGTAGGCACACTAGGAGCACCAAACAAAAAGGTGTACGTGATAGTGGAATAAACAAGTTTGAGGGGATAATTAAAACATAATATAGTTTAAGTGTACACCTAATAAAGAGCTTCAAGTTTACGGGGGTGAGAATACTTTAGCCTAATAATATGCTATAAATAGTTTATTTTTGAATATTTTTTAATTAAAATATTATTAATTTGATGTGTTATAAGATGATAATAATATGTTATAAGTAGTTTATTTTTAAAGAGTATGATTATAACTTGATATTTATTTTTTTTGAAATAGACAGATTAACAAAGACGTATAATTATAACTTGATATTTATTTTTTCTGAAATAAACAGATTAACAAAGACGTGTCTGCTTCAGTAGAACTTTCTCATATATAACTAGAGAATACCTATAAAATAAAATGTTTTTCAAAATCTTTCTTATTTACGTTACACTTTTTCCCTTCTTTCTTTTTTTCTTCAAGAAGGTGAAGGTGTAGATTAGCAAGCAACTTCAACTTAGTCCCATTTTAACAATTTTTTAGAAAACAAAAGGTAAGTGAATTTTCCTTTAGAATTTCAATTCCTTTTCACTATTTGTGGTTACTTACATTGATGATATTCTTCATTAACTTTTTAAACATATATATTTTATACTTGAACTATTACTTAAAATTAGAATCTTTAAATGTTAATTAAATTTCCCTATAAGTAGAATATTTACATTATGTTTTGGTGCATGAAATAAAAATAGAAAATGTGCTACTGTATCAACAAAAAGTTGTAGTTTTTTTTTTTTCGTTCAATTTTTCGGCCTGAAAAATTGAATCGCGCAGTTGCTCAAAAACAGTGAAGAGTCTGAATCTGAGTAGATTTCGAGAAAACTTGAAAATGTTGAAATTGGGCAAAGTTCAAAGAACGTGATAAGGAATTAGGGTTTCAAATAAAAACGATGAGACGAACATACCTGAAATTCTTCTGAAAATTGAATAATATGTATCTTGATTCGGTTGAACTTTTTGTGCTTAGAATTCGAAATTTTTTCATTGCCGCTGCTCCTCTGTTCTGTAATTCTAGCTTCAATAGCGGCGATGGCAGAGCTGAGATCAGTGGCTTTTGTTTTAAAAAAAAAATGGAAAACTGAAGGTCCTAGAGGTGATTTTAAGATTTTGAAAGAAGTGAAATGAGGTTTGATTGAAAAAAGAATTTGGAGAAAGCTGGAAAAAAATTGAAGATCATTTCATCACCACCTCAATACTAGTTAGAACTGTTTTGGTTGAAGAATTTAGAAATGGAGTTTGGAGATTGAACATTGAACAAGTTGTAGGATGATGCTTCGTTTCCTATAATAATGGAGCTTTTGGGGAAATTTGTTGGTTTATTTTGCTTTAGCTCTTGTTTGAGTTTATTTGATCATTCATCACGAAGGATTGAGATGGTGTTTTCATCAATATAGAGTTAGTCCTGATATTCATTCTCGTAATTCACTTTAAACTTGTTATATAATGTACAAATTTGGTTGAGTTGAGAGAAGGATCAAGAGCCCTTTGTATAGTTTCTAAAGTGTCTCTTCGTGACTTTGCCATAAATAAAGACTTATTTATCCCTCTCTACATTCAAATGTGTGAATCTGTGATGTATGTTTCTTCTAAGTGTATGCATTTAATATAGATAGACATTCGTATCTACGAATGAATCTAAGTATTGTTACGATATTAGTTATCTATGTACATTGCATGTGTATTAATCTCCCAAAAAGTCCCAAGTAAATGTGTAGCAGATATGCATAAATACATTCATATTTCATATAGTCATGAGTCATGACTGTCAAATTTTGCTAACAGATAATCACAAGAGTTTCAAAGTAGTTGCATTAAGCTTACTGTGTTTCCTTGACATTTGAAGAGGGGGCTCTTAGATTTGGTTCTTGATGAGACTTGTGCTATAACGTAACTCTGCTTTCCGTCGGTGTCCAGAATCCAGTACTTCCTCTAAAACAGTACTGACCCGTTCGTCTGTTTAATATCTCATTTTGGCATGTACAGAAGGCCTGCCTAAGTTGCTGCTAAAGGAGGAACTTGGACAACCATTTCACTCGACCCAAGCTTTCATTCACGCGTGATTCTGCTGCACTAGGTACCGGTATCCTATAAAACAGTGATCTCTTTATAGAAAAGTTTGAGTTCAAATTCTATTCTTCATAGCTTGAGGAACACTGGTATATACACTAGGAGATAAACTCATTCACTCTTGTTCTATCATGTTCTGATGAAGTATGACAAAAGCAAAAGAACTAGCGGATTCAGCCCTGACCAGTGAGAAGAAAAAGGAATGGTGTGAGTTCATCTATGAAGATCGCGGGAAATTGGTAATCCCAGTAGGACCCAGGTTTCAGGTTGATGTTCCAGATTGGGCGAACTCTCCGAATAAGGGAAGTCCAGTTGTAGCAGCAGATGTAGCATTAAGAGCTTCTACTCCATCGAAGAAGGAAATGGTACGCAAGTATAAAAAGGAGGAATCTGATACTTCAAAATGGCTTGGTACACTGGTATGGCCAAGAGCCGATAACCTAGAAAACAAGGAAGATAACGAGGAGCTTGTTGGGAAAGGGAGAAACGAACATTGTTCTTGTAGGTCCTCTGGATCTATCGGATGTGTCAAAAGACACGTTAAAGAAGAAAGCATGAAATTGAAGTCTGAACTGGAGACAGCCTTTAATGACTGGAAATTTGATGAAATGGGAGAAGAAGTTTCCAAGTTGTGGAACACTAAGGACCAAACAAAGTTCAGCTCCCTCGTTAAGACGGGTTTGTCTAAAGGCAAAAGTTTCATGAAACCAGCATTAGCATCTTTTCCTTCCAAGAATAGGCAAAGTATTGTCAACTATTACTTCAATGTTCACATTCCTCGCCGTATCAGATCAAATAGTATAACAATTAACACCGATGATGAAGAGGAGGAAGACGAAGAAGAGGAGGTCATTGCTCCCAAACATTCTCATAAAAGAAATCGAGCAAAAAAAGGTGCCTGTTCTTGTTCTAAATCTCTGAAGAGAAGGTACCTAAGTGGTCGACGATGACAACAGAAGTAACAATACACATTCTTATTAGTTGACAGACAAATGGAATATACAGAGAGAAATGTACTTTATCTCTCACTCCTGGGAGAATTTTAGGATGAGGGGTTCACATTTTGTACATTGGTTTTAAAGCCAAGAAAAGGTGACATTTTTTGGATATTGATGCAATGTATTGAGCCCTGATAGGCTAGCACAACAAAACTATATGAAGGAACAATATGGCTTCATACTTTGTCTGTTATTTCCCTTCAATATGCATGTTCGATTATTTTGAATCCTTTGATTCTGTGTGTAAGAATATTGTTGGCTAGGGTGTGTGAGAGTAATACAGAGATTATTTCTTCGTTTTAGTGTATTAAAACTAACATGCATTTCGTAATTCTAAAGAAATGTTTATTTACAAAATATTTTCAGCAATTGTGTCTTCTAACTATGTTTATGCGGATATCAGTACGTATTATTTTCTCTAATACCTTCCACCAAACAAACCCTTTGTCTGTAGGCTAGTTGCACACTTTGCGGCTTCCATTTGAAATTTTGTCTTTAATTTGAATTTACAAGTTTGTCAAGAATAAAGTTGGAACAAAAAAAAGGAATTGTGATAAGATTACCTTTAGCTTTTACGTCGATATCCTATGTAGATTGAAGGTATTTAATTATTTTCTTCTTTAAAAATAACAATTCATCACTTTCCTCTACTGGCAACCTTACTTGCAATCATCAAAGTAGTTAATTACTTGCAAGGAAGGAGAAGACGGGTTTGGAGGTAGACGTGGTGGCTGCGTAATTCCACAATATGGATAGGGTAAAGTGTACGCAAATCTTACTGACCATCTTAGAAGGTGTGTAAGTTAATGCATCGAATGTTAGATCTCTCCTCTTTCGGTGTCACCAAGGCATTTAAGAGTCAGAATAGGCGCCAAAAATTACGCCTTTCACAAGCAATTTGGCTTCAAAACAAACTTTTGGATCAATATTTGATGCTAAATGCATATAAAAGAAATTTGCTTCCAAGAATCTATTATAAACAGATGACCCTTTCAAACACTCATCCTTTAGCAACATTATTTCAGCACAAAAACATTCCGACCCCTACCCAACAGATTATAGAACTTACTGAAACTCCTCCAACTCCAAAATTCTACATTAAATGAATGGGATGGAACATCAAACAGACAAGGGGAAGACATGGACAGACAGATGCAGCACCTGGGAGAGTGAAGGGGATGAAGACCACTCGATGAAAAGGATTCATTTCGTTCAAACCCATAGGAGCAAAATTAATCATAAGGAAAAGAAAGCGGGTGGACCTGGTGAGAGGTGTTGTTAAAACAAGAAGAATCATGATCACTCCACTTCTCATCTCCTACCCTTAAGAAAAGAGCAACTTTTCAACAGCTCCATACTATATCTTCGAATTTCTTGAAATAATCTCTTCTAAGATTACTTGGAGGGAGGCTTAGCACAAGGTACTTGAAAGCAGCGTTTCTCTAGGATTCCAAAACAATGCAACTCGAGAAAATGAGAGCTGTATTTATCCTCATAAAACACGAAACATGGTCAATCACAAATAGCTATCACATAGAAACAAAGAAGCAGTAGATGCAACAAGTACCTTTCCTGTAACTGTTAAGGAATGGGACTTCGACATCAAGGTCAGCAACATCCAAAGCAGTTGATACTTAGATATTCCTAGGGTCTTACTTGGCCAAATCTTTTGAGACTCGACCCAAAGTACACTATCCACTAAGATGATGTTTTTTCTAAATCCCATTTTCAAACATTGGAACTATTAAGGGAAGATAATAACAAGGGAAAACAAAAGTAAAATATTTGAGCTAACCATTATAAAGAAAGCATTTTGATATTCAAATAACAAGGTATGCCGATACACAAAGATAAATTGTTTTTTTACAAAATCAGATACGAGGTAAACTACATGTAGTATCTTCCTTCCAGTTCAGTGCAAACCATTGCCAGTAGCGTGAAGGGGCTTTGTTAACTTGTTCTCAGTGAATCTACGGCTCCTAGAAGTCCTCAATGGCATCAAATAAAATGGCAACGTACCATTATCGATGTCATTTGAAGAGCATTTGACACTCTTGTTCCTCTCCAGCAGAAAAGCATCCCTGCCAAAGTTAGCAGACGCAGCACGTTCAGCAACTTTCTTCTTACTGTAATTTAGTTCAGTCATGTCACAAGAATTCCTAGGCTGATCGAAAGCACTGCTGCAGGAATTCCTAGCAGGAATGTAGGAGCTGCTGCAGGATTTTCTAGCCCCAACAATGCTGCTGCTTCGTGTGAGCCTCCATTGAGCAACCTCTTTTACATTATCATAACCCCTATCCCCTTGCTTCTTATTAGTATCAGTAACTGAACTGACAGTTTCTCCTTCTCCTTTTCGGGTTTCTCCCTTGTTATTATTGAGCTTTTGCTTGTTACCAAAGATATTGAACACCTCTCGCCAACGAGCAGGCTTCTTGGACCCCTTCTTCGTGCCACAACTATCAGCAACAATTCCATTCTTGGAAAACGATTCAAACTTGTTCAAATGATCATCTTTGATAGAATTCAAGCGCCAATCTTTCAATTCCTTCTCTGTAATAACCAACTTGACATGAGCAGGAGATGAATTTGACATATACTTGCCTTCGTTAACCTCCAAATCCAATGTCCTCTTGCCAAAACTCTGAACAGAACTCGACCTATCAAAACTACTTCCCCTTTGTGATGATGAAGAATCTGAATTGGACTGCCCTGATCCACCAGAACTACTCTCATCTTCTACTATAGCCTGCATTTGCCCATCAAGCGATGCTCGATGCCTATCAAACCCATTTCCATTCCCTAAAAGCACATTTTCGACAACTGATAACATTGGTGTTAGCCGTGGAATAGTCCTAGCTACCATATATCCATCCCAAGAAGCTCTAGGCTCATCAATTGAAATCCCGGGACCATCCAACGAGAATCGCCCTGCATCAACTGAAAATCGAGGTTCTGTATCACAAGATCTCCTCCCCGTTGCACATTCCCCAATCTCAGACCGACTATCCTTCGATTTATAACCTATCAACTTGCCATTTCCAGCTGAAAACCTATCATTGCCTTCAGCATTTCTGCTATTAAGCTTCTTTTCCCTCTGCTTTTGCCTCCATTTTTGCAATTTCTTGCTGAAGACTGAAGTTGCTTCCCTGAAATTCACCGCAATGTCTCTGAAGTCCCTGGATTTGTGATTTTTGGTGTGAAATTCGAGATCGATGAACTCTTTCATTGTCTTAAGCTCTCCATCTTGAGTATCTTCATCTATATCCTCTATTCTCACCAATGCATCAGCACGAACCCTAACTTCTTCACTCTCTTCATGCTCTACTATCGACTGACAAACATTATCAGACAAATTCGTCAACCCCAGGTTCTTCGATTCAACAGTGAAACCGGCATTGGATCCACCTGCCTCATCATCAACTCCAAAGAGATTTACAAGAGTATTCCTGGACGACCTATCATCACAAGATCTCCGACGTGGCTCCGACCAGCTACACGAACCTTCACACCTGACAGTAGAAACAGACCTACAACGCCGGAGATCCGGAGAAAACGACGATATAGCAGCTTTACTCCGGCTACATTCAAATCCGGGTTCGGGTCCGGGTCCATTATCAGCATATGGGTTTTCAAAAGAATTAGAGAATGTAGGAACAATAGAGAGTTCAGAATCAGCTGAAGTGTCAAGACCGGAGAGACGTTCACGCAGGCATGCGGCACAGATGCCGGTGACCGGCTCCGATGGGTGGCGGTGACAAGCTGAAAGACGGCGGGTTCGGGTGCGGGTGCGGTTTTGTGAAGTGGTACGAGTCATTGGAATGCGAGTGGGACAGCATAAGATGGGCTCATTTATGAATGGGAGTTGGGTTTTTCCGACAAGATGGACAGAAAAAATTCAGAGCATAAGGGATCCAAAGAGACTATAAGCAAAAGAACCCTTCATTAAACCCTTTATTGTCCCTTCTCTTTTAAGATTTTCTCTATTCATTAATTTACCTTTTATTTTGTCGTTCGATATTTCTACTAAAGCTTAATTAAATTTAAATTTGTATATAATTCACTTCAATAGTGTCGTTAAACATTGTTTGGCTTTTGAATTTTTTTGATGTAGTTATCCGCTTTAGATGTGGAGTGTCTGAAGTTAGGTGTGAAAAAATCAAATTTCAAACACAATACTTTTAAAGTTATATAGTTGAATTGCTGAAGTTCGAGTTATATATAATTAGACTTTCGTTATTTTATGTCTAAAATTTGTTTCAAACGCAATACTCTTAAAGTTATATATAGCTGAAATGTTGAAATTCGAGTCATTATATATGATTAGACTTTTGTTATTTTATGTCTAAAATTTGTTTCAAACACGATATTTTTAGGAGTCATTTGATAGAGTGTATTAATGTAGTGCAAAATAGACTATATTATTAATATTTGTATTAATTATACATAGATTATTTGTATTCATTGTTTGATTTGATACATTAAAAAAAATATAATGTATCGCATTAGAAAAATTATTTACAAAAATGTCATTCACTATTATGGTGGAAAAGATATAAAAATATATTGAGGAGCAATAATGCATGCATTAAAAACATTGCATCGCTAATACCTAAAAATCCATGGTATTAGCAATAAACACCTTAATGCACAATGTAAGCATTAGTTATACATAGGTTGAAAAATAGTATCAAACAAGGTACTAGTGATACACGAGGTTAATGAATGCATTTTTTTTAATACACTCTACCAAACAATCCCTTAAAGTTATATATAGTTGAAGTTCAAATTATATATGATTAGACTTTTGTTATTTTATGTCTAAACTTCATACACGTATAGATAAAGTTCAAGCATAAAAATATGGAGTGAGACAAAACTGATTAAAACTTTAGTCATATTTATATAAACTTTAATTATATGAAACTTCACATACATTACTTTAATTATATGAAACTTCACATACATTTGAAGTAAGAGTTTGTTAAGACTAATTAACTTTAATTATATGAAACTTCACATACATTTGAAGTTAGAGTTTGTTAAGTCTAATTAACTTTAGACATTGTATATTAAGGGATTTCGTATGAGGGATGAAAAAAATAGTGATGGGATAAAAAGATATTTTTTATTTGATTGTCATGTTTAAGACAATTTATTCCACCATTTATATCATAGTGATAGGATAAATTTTTCCATGATAGTTAATCACAAAATAATTGATCTCAAGGTAACTTATTTTCAACCTAACGATCCCTTGAAGTTAAATGAAAAAATATATATATTAAAAATATTAATTAAAAGCAAATACAAGATAAATGGCAACGTTAAAACCGATATTTATATACTTTCTTCTGAAAAAACTTGTATTTAGTGGTAAAATTTTCAGTTTATACCTTGGAGATTTTTAAATCAGGAATTTCTAATTAAAAATAAAAAAATATTTATCAGTTTATAATTTTGTTAATTTTTTCCCTTTTATTCGAGTAGTGTACTAAAAAATGAATAGTTAAATGTTGGGCCAACACAGGGGCATGTACTATGCAACAATTAATTATTTTTCACTCAGGTATCAGTTAACGTCTAGTGTAACGTTTTTACTATGAAGATGCCATGATTCTTAAGACCTCTAAAGCTGTGCACAAATTAGATTCACAAATATATGTTGGCATATGGGCCTAAAAGTCTCAAGTCCACGTGCCAAAGAAAGAGCATAAATAACCATAGGAAACAAGGTCAATGTTAAATTTGGCGGGTGGTAAAAATTATTCTAAATATTATTTATCGAATAAATTATATAAAAAAAATTTATCTATTAAGTTAAAGATTCTATTTTAATGATGTTAAAGTATATAAGTAACTTTTATTCATGTACGTAACTTTAAAGTATTTTCTAAATGCAATTTATAAACTAAAATATTGAATACTAGTAATAAGATACAAATAATACTATAGAATAGTAATATACTATTGGATAAGATCATAAAATACTTTCATCTTCATAAAAACAAAATATAACAAATCAAGCTAAATAAGAAACTAATATACTATTAATAAGGACTAAAGGTTAATCTCCTTCATCTCCCTCTCTAAACTATCACCACACTAGATTATCTTATTAGTAACTTTTTATATAAATACTCTGACATTTATGTTCTATTATTTAAATTAAGGGTCATGTCCTAATACATTAAAATAATTCTTCGACTAGTTTTAACTTTCGTAATATTTACTATTATCAATCTCTCACATTTCTAATCAATTTATTTGATCACCTTTTTTTATGTATTTAAAATAATATATTTTATTTTTCACGTCTTATCGAAATTATTTCTATCTTACATGTTATATTAAAACAAAACGTTATGGAGTCGTCAATATATTTGGTTTGTTCATCCGTTTCCTTCACGTTAAACCTGCTAGCTCAAGAGGCACAAAGTTCCCATCCAAATCTCTACACACTCATCACTCGTTACCCATTTTTTTTTTTCATCTTCTTCGATTAGCAATTTACGATCATCTTATCCCTCAAAATACCCAAATTACGCTTGTAAAATCAAGGGAAATTGCCAAAATTCTGTTCCAGAACAAGAAGAGGAAAGCAAATGGAGAAAGCTAAAGCTTTTCTTGAATTAACCCAGGGAGAATCGGACCGGGTTTCGTCTCTTGCTTTTCCTCCTCATCGGCTCGGTACCGAGTGTAGCTTCTATGAGTACTATTCTCTCAGAGGGATCCGGGTTGACCGAATTGAACCGGGTCAACTTTTTTGCACCTTCAAAGTTCCTCCTCGTCTCACTGTAAGACAAACCCCTAATTGTGCCCCCTTTTTTCCCAGTTTGTGTTATGTGTTTGCCATTTTGATTCTTGAATGTTGTGATAGTTGTATAGAAATATATTTATCACAAAGTAAGGATTGAAGAGTGTATCTGAAAATTAAAGGGGTTGGTTGATATAAAAGCATTACATAAAAGTTTAGGATTTGAATATTGGGATATATGCAGATGAAGTTTTAAAATCAAGTAGACTGTTTTCTTGTATTTTCTATTGGATTGTTGCTTGGAATGAAAGTTTTTTTTTTGGTCTATCTTTTTAGGATAGAGAAGGGAAACTAGCATCTGGTGCCATTGCTAATCTAGTTGATGAAGTTGGGGGTGCGGTAGTCTACGTGGAGGGTCTCCCCATGAATGTATCAGTGGACATGTCGATTTCATTTCTTTCAAGTGCAAAGGCTGGTGTAAGTGCTCCTCATTTTTCCTATCTTTTCAATGATTTCATTATTGGTTCATGAATTTTGTCAGATGTCTGCACCTTTTAGTATGCTCATGATGTATTTTAGAATAACAAGGAAAGAAAAAACAATAAGAGGAAATCACCGAAGAAAAGAATGAAATGCATAAAGAGGAAGATAGACAGGTTCCACATTCATCACTCACAAATAGCTGAATTATAAAAATAATGAGCTGCGTACCCTACACTACACCTGCTTACAAACTAGCTGACTTTTCAAATGATTATCAGTAGCTAGTTTTGCCTTTTCAGTTTGTCCGTCAGTGATGAATATCCCCTCTTTAAGAAACAATATACTACTATATGGTATGCAACATTATAGATGGAAAATAGGTAAATCAAGTACATCCTTAAGACCAGGTTATGTGTACTAACTTTAACCGTTCTTAAGTACAAAAAAACTCTTCTCCTTGCATTGTTACTGTAATGCAGAGTATCTTTGATCGCATGTCAATTGGAAATGGTCATGTCCATTGATACCTTATTAGGCACTAATGAAAATTTTAATTGCTTCACCACATGTAGACTAACAAAATTGTGTATAATCCCACTGTCCACCAATATAACCAGAGCGTTTTGTTGATCGAGTCCTGAGTTCTGATTATTCTAGGGAGTCTGCAGACTCTATCGAGTACTGCCACTTCTGTGTCCCTATGTCCTGGACTCCTTGCCCCAAAACTTGTTCATCATCCTTCCAAACCTCTTCATCCTCCTTAATCCCTCAGTTCCTTCTTGGCTAACATAGCATCCAATTTCTTTGGTTGGCAATTATGTCTTCAGTAACTAACATGCAATTAACATATTGGTTCTGTTCTTTAGAGACTCCTCGGTGGAATTTTATTGGTTAGACTAGCTTGGGAGTTTGAAGATATGAAGGTTTAGGCAGTGTTGTAAGGCTTGGTTTGCTGGGCAGAGCTTTGGGTATATGACAGGAGCTCTTTGTTGTATAAGAGTGTTTAGACATGGCATCAATGGATACCTTATATAATTTCGTTTTTTTTTACTGGCATCAATACTGGGTTCAATATTTTTCCAATGCAATTTAAGGTTAAGTTGGATAAAGCAAGACCCCATTTGAGATTCGTTCAAAGTGAGTTACCTGCAATAGAGATCACAGCCGAAGGCTGTCCATGAGAGACTGCTCTTCTATGATTCACCAGCTATCCATCAAAACATTGCCTCAGTTTTCTTGAGTTCATCAAGGATATGCATCAACACAAAATCATTTCTTTTGCAATCACGTACAGTACAAACTCCAATGAAACGGTCAGATTTCTAATATTCATCCTAGGTTTGGTCCGTTGGTGCCATAAAACTTGGATATTTTTTTAACTTTGGCTTGTAGTAAAGTAAGAACTTGTCTGTGTTTGGATAAGTAGAGGAAATGGAGGCATTGTTTGGTTGGTTATTTGGAAAGCCGAGTTAGTCAAGAAATGTGATGGTAAGAACTTGACAGCATATACATGAGAGATTGGATGTGAGATGTGTGGAGGTATCTTATATTGGCATGAGGAATATAATTGTTTCTGCAAAGCAATATAGGGGATAGGGCCACCACATTTTCAGTGGACAGCGAGGATTGAGTGATTAGCAATGGCTCATGAGGTGGCTTTTAAAATAATTAAATTGTTGCCATCTGAGTAATGCTTGATCGAGTAAATAGAACATCTTTTGTGGTCCTTCCCTAGCTAATGTTTTTCAGCCTTGCCTACTGTATATGCATTTTGTTTATGCATAAATATACTCTCAATTTTTACCTTTATGTATGTATTTTAATCCTTATAAGAGGTGCATTTTGTTGTTGGATCACCTCTATATCCCCATTCTTTATAAAACTGTTTGCCTGTACAAGTCAATACTGCACTGACCTTTGAGAGTAGAATATATTTTTAAAACACAGGCTAATTTGAGAATGGAACCAAGTTGCTTGCCTCTCCTGCACGAGTGTCCATCAGTTAGTAGGTAGTGATGTACTTCACTTATTGCTGCTTATCCACCCAACGTGAGTTGATAGTTCCTCACATCTTTCTTCGTAAGCCAATACCATGAATTAATCTAGAAGACTTCAGATAGGTTGCATCACGTCACGTATTTTCCCCTTATTCTCTTCATCCTAGCAGTTCAGTAAGTTTGGGTCTGAACCAACCCAAAGTGGTTTATCCTGCCTCTGATCACTCCCATCTTTCAAATTCAAAAGTTCTTTCTTTTTATCATCTTTTTAAATGTGCACTCAACCTCTACTTATGGATTACGTCTTGGTGTTGGATATTTGCAGGATGAGTTGGAGGTTATTGGTAGAGTCTTGGGTCAGAAAGGAGGATATTCCGGGACAAGTGTACTTGTGAAAAATAAAACAACGGGGGAGCTCATTGCTGAAGGGCGGCATTCATTATTCGGTAAACATGCTAGTAAAATGTGAAGTGTATTTCTCTGGACCAAGATGCCTGTTTGAAGATGTACTTCAGTTTCCAGCTTCTGGTCTAGACGTATGTTTCGTTCGAACATTTATTGAGCAGCATTATACTTGTGAGGAACAAGTCCAATGTAAATATTTGCTTGTTAATGGAGGCATTTGGTGCTGATTACCATTGCATTTATTATAACTTCATGTATACTGGACATATATTGAGTTTAGGATTGAAGCATAGTTGATTGATATAAGATTTTATCAACAGTGAGATAAACGCTCAAACATATATTTTGCAGGAATTGCAATTGCCATATTATTCATCAAATGTGTAGTACTCGTATATCACATTCCTACTGTTTTCTATATACATTTGTGGAAAAATAATATAATCCAGGCCAATTTTTACCCAATTCAGATTATATTTATCATATATCAATGTAAGGCACTAAAATAAAATTGTTGGGTTCGAAGGATCAACTCGCCCCCTCTTTCAGTTAACAATTTTTTTTAAAATATTGAAATTAACTATTTGTGTGACTACTGAAAAATTATTTTATTTGTTTATCTATTTTTCATTAGAAATGATTTTTAAAAATCATTCATGAGAAAAGCCCAAAAAGTGTAATTATATTTTGAAGCTTGAGGAGAGAGAAATAATGGAGAAATCAAAAGCTTTCCTTGAACTGACCCAGGAAGAATCGGACCGGGTTTCCTCACTTGATTTCCTTCCTATCCCAACTGGCGCGGAGTTTAGTCTCTACGAGTGTTATGCCCTCAGAGGTATCCGAGTTGATAGGCTTGAATCCGATCGTGTCTTTTGCACATTCAAAGTTCCTCCTCGACTCACGGTATCAAAATCCCTCTTCTTCTTTTTTTTTCTACTCGAGTTTCTATTGCATGGAGATTAGAGCTTGTTTGATGTGAATTGGCAGAACAGAGAAGGAAAATTAGCAGCTGGTGCTATAGCCAATCTTATTGACGCTGTTGGGGCTGGATGTGTCAATATTGGGGGTCACCCAGTGAATGTATCCGTAGACATGTCGATTTCATTTCATTCAAGTGCGAAGATTGATGTAAGTATATCCCTAATTCTTCCCATTCAATTGAGTTCATTACTGGTTTATGAATTTTCTGAAAATACTTAAAATCAGGATGAGGAACGAGAAAAAGAAAGAAATAGTCATTGATTCAACTCCTCAGGATTTGCTGGTTTGATAGGTTCAACGCACTTGTTTACTCTTTTCAGTCTACACACCGCCTATATGTTTCGAGTATGGAGTAAAACTTAACCTTTAGCTATGCCAATTATTTGATGAAATTCATGGATATATTATCGAAACTTGAATTGGATTGGAAGATGTTGCAGTTAGTTTCGGTACACCAAACTCTTTCATTTGCACCTTCTTCACAGTCCTACACTCATTTTATTCAATAGAAGATTCTTGCTTTTGAACCTTTAAGATGTGGCCAGCGTTCTTGAATGTCCTTCAGTAAAGAAGAGTAATCAGACATTTTATTAGCTTATTTACCAAAGAATGTGCATTTGCCTATTACTGATGGATTACAGACTTTGTTATATGCATTTTTCTTGGGATATTTGCAGGATGAGTTGGAGATCATCGGTCAAGTCTTGGGTAAGAAAGGAGGTTATTCTGGAACAAGTGTACTTGTGAAAAATAAAGCTACTGGGGAGCTAATTGCTGAGGGGCGGCATTCATTATTTGGTAAATATGCTAGTAAAATGTGACGAAATATTTATCTAGACCAAAATGCCTCTTTGGTTCTTCTTTCATCAGATAGTTTTCAGATAACATGTATTGAGCAGCATTGTGCCCCTGAGAAACAGTGCAATGTAAACATAGGCTCATCAATGGAGGTGGATATGTTTTGCTTAGAGTTCCATTATTCTTTTGATGATTATGTATGTGTAATGGTTTTTATATATATAATCCTCTTGGACTCTGTAACTCCATTTAAACTAGAGAAACAACACATAATCAAGGCTATAGCATTTAAAGCTGTGCAAATTACTACTAGTTCAAGGCTGCAAAAGTCATGCACCGCATGTAGCAACAGGAGAACTCACAAGTGATGACCCATGAAATCCTATGTTATACACACCCAACATATAAAAGCCAATAGAAAGCAATGAAGAAATTGAGAGATTTCCATAGTCAATACGCTGTATTACCTCTGCATCAAATTACAAACACAATAGTACAGCTAGATCTCATTTCCACCAGTCACATAAGCTGGAAAGCAGATATGTTATCTTGAGAAATTCTACTTGAATGACCAATCTAATACAACTTTAAACTCTTTGCAACAGAGAGTGACAGACTAGACCTTCCTAGTAGTGTAGTCCTTTCATGATGAAGGTGAAGACCTAGGTGTAACAGACCTTGAAACAAATCTGGAAGATGCACTAACACTGCGACTCTTCTTAGAGCTTTTCTTCTGATTAGGAGAGTAACTGCTACGAGAGCAGCTGCTCCTGGAAACGCTTCTTGAATAGCTCCTCTTTGACCACCTAGGTGATACACTGCGCGAGTAGCTTCTCCGATACCGAGGAGAAATGCTCCGAGAAATGGAACGATATCGGTTCCTTCGATAATAGTAACTGTTGTTCGGAGAGTAGTCGCGATAGCGGCTCATTCTGTTGTCACGAACATCTGGAGAGTCTGAAAGATCATGGCTTTCAGGAGAGTAGTCACGGTAGCGGCTTCTTCTATAGTAACGGTCATCTGGAGAATAGGAACGATCACGCCGATGATTGTCGGGAGAATAGTCATGGTAACGGCTCCTTCTGTAATAACAGTCATCTGGAGAGTAGGACCGATCACGCCCATTATATGGGGATAAAGATCGAGAGTAAGATCTTCCACGACTATAGTAAGGAGAATAAGGTGATTCTGAGTAGCAGTGGTGCCGACTGTAATACGATGAGTGAGATCTCTGGCGTCCTCTGTAATAAGAGTATGATCTATGCTCTTGTCGGTAATATGGAGAGTAAGACCTGCTCCTGCTCCTGTAGCTTTCAGATGAGTAACAAGGAGAGTGATTCCTTGAATAATGAGGATAAGTTCGTGATTCACGACGAACTACATTTACAAGGTGGAAATTAGAAGACATCACAGACAAATAACCCAGGTCAATTATTGCTTAGGAAAGGATACAATATCATACCGCGAACAGTTCTAAGCCCCAAATATTTTCCTGGAGTAGGTGTTCTACCTCTTCTCCTCCTGGCCTGCATAGGATACAATTGTCAGACAGCAAATCTAGACTCTGGCAGGTTGATGCAATATAACAATATCACGATATAAGTAACCAATAGAAAATGAACAATAGCAACAAGGGCGCAGCTGAATAAAGAAAAATGAAGGCTACAACCCTCTGGTTGACAGTCTGTTTGCTTGATGTGTTTTGATTTGTTATTTGGACTTTGGTGAAGAGCTGCTACACACAGCTACCTTGCTGCCAAAGAAACTCAGGCGAAACAAGCAAACAACTTTCAAACTGATCAAATTACTGAAGCAAATATAAGATATTGATACAACTGAGAGCTGATACCAGCGAAAATTGCAAACATAAGATTCAACAAAACTGAGCAAATATTCAATAAATTCTACCTTCTCCACGGTGATAACTCTGCCTTCAAGTATTGAGCGATTCAGAGACTTGATGCAGCGATCAGCCTCCTCAACGCTGGACATCGTCACGAAACCAAACCCACGAGATTCGTGGGTCCATGGGTCTAAAACAAGACGAACATCTTCAACCTAACCAGAGAAAAAAGCATTTAATGAGGTTGATATCCTCGACAATGTGAACGCACATGGGAGCAAATCCTACGGTGTTCTTTTCTTTTGAATAAAGTGCAAAAGACCTAAATGAACTGACTACAGAGAACGGGAAGGCAATCTGAAGAAGCAACAAACATACCTTCCCCTCAGCAGAAAAATGCTTCTCAATATCTCGCTCCTTAACGCGGGTTGAGAGACCAGTCACATACAAATTGTTCCCTGGGTTCTCAACATCACTTGAATCACAGCTCCTGCCATTATAATAAAGTTAAATAACATGAACTCTAATTACCACCATATTAATAGAACATTGCCAACATGTACCTTGACCGACTCCTTGAAACACATCTGGACCTTGAGACAGACTTGCTATATCGATCGTATGAAGGTGAGCGAGAATACCTGCAATATAAATGTCATATTGAACATGACTAGGAATAATGACCATATAAAACCCATATTAAGACCAACAATACCTTGACCTCCTGGAGTACGACATCTGCAGTTAACATCAAACAGAATGGTAAGCTTAGGCTAATAATATTGAGAAGAAAGACGATAAAACAGGGTGTTTTATCACAAACCCAGCAGATATATAGTAAGTAAAACCATCAAATCAAGATCACTGATTTGTCAAACAATACAAAACTAACCGATGCAGACAATATAATTCCTCTAAATCGACTCTGCCTCACTCTGTCTACTCCGTTTCAATAACGGAACATCAATTTATCTTTTGATTTAAATTAAAGGTTTCCTAATTCCCATCTTATATTCTCCTCTATTACTTTACCTTTTAGCTTCTAGAATCCCAGCAATCATAAAAGTAGAAAGTAAAGTTCTCCTTGGTGATTAAAGGATAACAAACTATGCGATAGGATCATAGTTTGAAATTTGTCAAACCAAGCAGACAACAACAATTAGCTACTGATAAAAATAGAGGCGGATCAAGTACTTAAAACTTTTATATAAGGATAATAGAACTGAACCAATTCCACTTTTATGCTTTAATTCTGACTTTAAATCTATAACACTGGTAACGCTTTACACATCTATATATATTTATGCTCCCGTGGATGTACTGGAATTCAAAAGGATCAGTGTGAAAAGCATTAATTGCTATATGTCAAAACAACAAAATCACAAATCAACTCAAAGACAAAAATACACAATAAACCAAAAATCGACCGAGACTGTTTAGTTCTCTATGTTCTGGGCAAAAAATGAACGGAAGAATCATCTAATCCGCTTAGGTAATAGAAAATTCAATTTGAATCAAACGTTGATGCCGATCACAAACGCAAATGACATACAATCTCATCAGCTTTTTAGCTAATTCGTATCGAAGAAAGGAATTAAGAGATGGAAAAAGAAGACTCACCGTGAAGAGATTATGGTAGCGTAGGATCGAAATACTTCTCTTTCTCTCTCTAATTTGCGAAGGCTCTCGAAATAAAATGACTCGGTTGGGAAAGGCTTTCTACTATATACCTGTAGCGTAAAGAAGTTTCTAGATGAGGGACACGAAATCCTTTTTGATTGGACTTGAATTTGTCACATTATTCTACCAAACCAAAAAAAAAAAAATTGTTTCTATCCATATTTAAATGGAGAAATTTTCGTATATAGTCATTTAAAATAGCTAATTACTCTCTATAACTATAGTTTAATAATTATAATTCGTAACTATGTGTTATATGGAGGAGAGAAACAAGCGAGACCGGAGGAGAGAAACAAGCGAGACCGGGAGAGAGTGAGAGAAAGGTGAAATATACATGTATATCATTTAGTAATTGTATATTATACATATGTATTTGTATATATGGCAAAGTGAGAGAATGAGAAGAAAGAGAGAAGCGAGCGAGACTAGGAGAGGAAGGAGAGAGGCGAGCGAGACAGGGCAGAGAGTGGGAGAGAGGTGAATTGTATGTGTGTGTAAATGTATGCTATACATATACATTTGTATATAGGGCAAGCGAGATTGGAAAAGGGAGGAGAGAGGTGAGGGAGATTGGGAGAGTGAGGAGAGAGGCGAGCGAGAGGGGAGAGAGGTGAATTGTATATATATAGGTTGAATAATTATATATTATACATATGTATTTGTATATTCTGGCGAATTATACATATACAAACGTGACTATTATACAAACTCAAAATTAGTTCACGTAATTAATGTATAATATTAATTACGAGTGATAATTATAGTAAATTATAACTATGATAAGTAATTTTAATAGTATAAATCTATTTTGTTGCGTAATTTTTTCTATTTGAATATGAGAGATTAAAACCCAAGGCCTTTCTCGAAGCAGGCCCAATTGATTTATGGGCTCAAGTAGCCCAAAATCAAAATAATGGCGGGAACTTATTTTATTTTCTGACAATTCATTTCCCGCCAATAGGGAGCCCTATATTCTCGAGCACACTTTTCCAGCAGCTATATAAACCCTAACCCCATTACTCCACTCATTTTCGCTCTATTTTTCATTCAGACACCTCTGTTTTCCCTCCTTCCCCATTTCAAAACCCTAACCCTAGTTTCCCGCAGAGGACAAAATGTTGGAACTACGTCTTGTTCAGGGAAGTCTGCTGAAGAAAGTTCTAGAATCGATTAAGGATCTGGTGAACGATGCGAACTTTGATTGTTCCGCCACTGGATTCTCTCTGCAAGCCATGGACTCCAGTCACGTGGCTCTGGTGGCGCTGCTGCTCCGATCTGAGGGTTTTGAGCACTATCGTTGTGACCGGAACATTTCAATGGGCATGAACCTTACTAACATGGCGAAAATGCTCAAATGTGCTGGAAATGATGACATCATCACCATCAAGGCTGACGATGGCAGTGACACCGTCACTTTCATGTTTGAAAGCCCCAGTAAGTTCCGAAGCTAGTTTATGTGTTTCCATAATTATAAATAGGATCTAGAGACTATAACATCTGCTATATATATTGTTGAAATTGATACCTCCTGGTCCCAAAATATTGACACTTTTTTGCTTTTGATTACTTATTAAACATGTCAAATGTGAGGAAAATTGAAGCGAACAGTAATTTGTAGTTTGGAATCGTGTTTGATTCTAAATTATGAATTTTAGAAATGATTACTTCACTGTCTATAGATCGATAGAATAATTTAAACTAGCTTGATTTTGCTTGAAATTGGTATAATTGGGACTGAGTCGTGTCTTTTATGATAGATTTATTGATTTTATTTTGATTATGGATTCAGTCTCTCTGTTACTATGGTCTAGTTTTAACTTATTTGCATAACTATTATGTATTGCAGCCCAAGACAAGATTGCTGATTTTGAGATGAAGCTAATGGACATTGACAGTGAGCATCTTGGGATTCCTGAAGCAGAGTACCATGCTATTGTTAGAATGCCTTCTGCTGAGTTTGGTAGAATTTGCAAAGACCTTAGCAGCATTGGAGATACAGGTGCAATTTGCCTCATGATAACTGTGGCTTTAGTAAAGTTTCTAATGGTGATTATATATTAACTTCTGTTTCAACTGATTGTTGCAGTTGTTATTTCGGTGACTAAGGAAGGTGTGAAATTCTCAACCAGAGGTGACATTGGTACTGCTAATATTGTTTGCAGGCAAAATACAACTGTTGACAAGGTAGATTGTTTTTGCTTGATGTGCTCATTGTTCTTGATTAATTCTTGTGTCTGATGTATGACTTTTGTTTTAAATTGGCAGCCTGAAGAAGCCACTGTTATAGAGATGAATGAACCAGTGTCATTGACATTTGCCCTAAGATACTTGAACTCCTTTACAAAAGCATCTCCATTGTCGAACACAGTGACCATCAGCTTGTCTTCAGAGCTTCCTGTTGTTGTTGAGTACAAGATTGCTGAGATGGGTTATGTAAGGTATTACCTGGCACCTAAGATAGAAGAGGATGAAGAGGAAACCAAGCCTTGATTTTATGTTTTTGTTTTCTTATGGTGTAAGCTCATTTGAGTCTTTCAGGCAAGCAATATGTAGCTTTAGCTTAGACTGGCAAGACAAATTTTCAAATTTGTGTCTAATGAAATCATGTATTTTCCTCTTTTGGGGGTTTTCCTTCTCTTATCTGCATGTGATGTTAGAATGCCTTGTAGTTGAATTTACATAAAGCATTTTGTATTTTTAATGCTGCTCTGCAAGAGTGGAGGAATTTTGGTTATGCAATTGTATACACGAAATTGGCATCAACACTATTGGGGATTTGAAATGCTTAGTTGCTGTTAAATAGTAGATTTATGAATTTATACCTGGCTAATCCTAAGCTCACTGCCTTACCGCAGGGGGGGAGTACACTTAACCATTCTTATACTCTTTGTTCTATAATAAAGATGAAATATTTGGCTAACAAGTTATTTTGAATAATGACCATCTTTATGAAATTTTACCTGCATTGGTCTCACATTTCATGTGTTACAAAGCTAATAGAAACGTGCAATATGCAAAGGCCAAATTACCCTTTATGCTTGTAAGATCAAAACAACTGATAAGTTGCAAAAAAGCTAAATTAATTTATGATTGCTCTTCAAGTTGATCTACAAATGTACCTAGATACAGAAAAAATTTAGATGTAAATACTAGTACATAGAACAAACAAGCTCATCTCGCAAACCGCAATCATTAGTACAAAGCTAGAAGACACTGTAGCATTTTCAAGTGTAATGCACAGTGGGAAGAATGTTCAGAACTGTAGTTGTTGTGCTGCAAACTGAAAGAGATAGTGCCACTGCTAAATGGAATGGTCCAAAACCAGAATTCTGATGAAAAAAAGATCAGTTCCTCCACTTTTCACCAGTATAAACTGCTTGATCACCAAGCTCTTCTTCAATTCTAAGCAACTGCAAAATAAACAATAAGTCTTACAAATTAGAAATAGGGAAAAAGGAAAAAACAGAAGATGAATCCTTTGAAGAGTCGAAGCACAATAAGAGCATGGCAGAGCTGAATGATGTGCCATTAAAGGGAAGAATAAACCTATAAAAGTTGAAAGCAGTTCATAAATTCAGCATAGATAGGCTAGCAAAATACCTGGTTGTACTTTGCAAGTCGTTCTCCTCGGCAAGGGGCACCAGCTTTAATTTGACTAGTAGCTAAGCCAACAGATAAATCAGATATGAAACTGTCTTCAGTTTCACCAAGTCTTTGAGATATCACAACCCCCCATTGGGCATCCTTGGCCATCTTGACAACTTCAATGGCTTCCGTCACTGTACCAATCTGATTAACCTGTATCCCAGCCAACCCATGCCATCAGACAGTATTTTTACATCAGTAACATATGTAACTGATATTTCCAGATGATATGGAGACTCATATCTATTCAATAGGTTTAAGCTATAAAAGGAAAGGATACTGTCCAATTCCACAAAAGGATTTATGATGCTATCAAGGAGAATTTACAAAGAAATCTGAGGACCTAATAGTCAAGAAAGTATCAGAATCCCTGGAAGTAATCAAAATGGCATATTTTACTAGGATCACAAATATAAGGCAGTGGTTCGGAAGTTAAAATAGTGCAAATGTTGTTTAGACATTTTTGCCATCACATTGACCTTGACAGTTGTGGAGGAACAAGTTCTCCAGAGCAGCCACAAATTATAAACAGTAGAGCAATCTCCAATGGCATGTAAAGCCTTCAGGGATTCTTGCCACCAATTGTGGTCATGATGAAACAAGGGCCCGAGAGTTGTACGTCTCATTAGAGAAAAGCAGTAAACACAAAGAACTGAATGTTAACTAATGAGGAGCAAAACGTTAACAGAGCTACTGAGTGCAACCTGCAATGGTCCCACTGTGGGATGTCGGGTAAAGGTCAGGATTACTCTGCTTATTGAGTCCCCATTTTTTTTTGGGGGGGGGGGGGGGGGGGAGTTGGTAATCTGATCCACTGTAGATAGGATGATGAGGGTGGGTTCAAAGATGAGTTATGTTTTTGAGATAGAACGTAAACTAAAATGGAAGTCTTGTAATGTTGGATCACTAACCTAGGTATAAGCTTGTCCAGACATCTAATTACACATTCAAGAACTAATCCAACTCTAAATCATACTGCAGGCTAAACAATTAAAATGCTACATCGAGTCTGTGTTTCTGCAACTGTACATACATAAGATGCTGAAAGTCTAGTTCAATCCAGAATAAAGTCAAACCACACAAAATCCTGAATGATCATATGAAGTGTTGAGTTGCCAGCATATCCTCTTTTGCAGATACAATTGATAGGTTAGAAGAAAATATATTTGGAAAGATCTATATTTCTTCTGTTATAATAAATCAACTGCTTTCAGTATTATCACGAGAAGTCGGTGTCCCTTCACAAAATAAAGATTTAATCTCTTCAACCAACAATCTATGTGATATGGCTTATCCATGTTTAAAGCAAGGATATATCTCAAGAAAGCTCTTTTATAAAGGATGCTTTTTTTCCTTTTGTGCATCAAATTGACATATTTGCCACATATGTTATTGCTTTTACTCTTTTTGAGTGGGAAATCTTCATCATATGCTCCTTTTTTCTTGCTAGTTGTACCTATGCCATGGAGAGAGGAATAATATTTGCCCTTGATCAGTCAACAGTCTGAACCAGGAACCTCTCTCTCTTGAATTATGACCATCTCTCTTTCAGGATAGAGAGAAAGAGGTCTACTGGTGCACGATGACCAATGAGGCGCTGACCAAGGACAAAAGTTTGTTTCAAAGAAAGATGCAGAGTACCAGCAAATGTCGGTAGGTACCTTGAGAAGAAGAGCATTGCATGAGTTCTCTTGTATGGCTCTCTCGATCCGTTTAGGATTTGACATTATTAAGTCGCCTCCAACCACCTGCAGCAAGCAATTCATGTTTGACACATGATGGGACACACGATAAATATGACAGGACTTTAAGCAAATAGGAAGGTTCATTATAAATGTATGTGTATGGGTGGAAGCTCATCAAGGCTGATGTTAATCACGTGAGCAAATCGCCAGGAAGAATCCAGACAAACCTGGCATATTCCAAGACTAGAAAAGTACTTGACATGCTCCCAGTCCTCCTTGTCAAATGGATCTTCAATTGATACAATGGGGTAGTCTATAGGGAGAGAAAAGGAATAAGAAATGATGAGAATATGATGACTAACAGAAAGCTCACATCACAGAATCAATGAATAGCAAGTACCTGCGCACAGTTCTTTGTACATATCAATCATATCCTGTCCTGATTTAAAATTTTGTCCAGATTTATTTGGAGTTTTAAAATCTAAGTCATATTTTGTACCTACATTTGAAACACCACAAGTCAGTTTGTTAGTAATGAGAATATAAATATCTCACACATAACTATTTGCATCTTCTGGATGCTATGAATGAATTAATTACTTCATCTAAAAATATAAATAAATCACACAACCAAAAAGACGTATTTCATGAATGTGAGCATGGATTTAATGCATTATCAACTGAAGACTTTCCAAGCTATCTAAGAAAAAATATCATATGATTATACTAATCTACAATCAACAAAAATTTGAACTAAAGCAAATATATCACCTATACAAAACTCAGTGGCCGCAACACCAATTGCTATCTTTATTTTCTCATTGTATCCTGTTCTCCCAATAGCCTTTTGAACAAGGTCCAAGCCATCTCTTAAGCTGCAAATGCAGTATTCAGGGTCAATAATTTCATTGTGAAACATAAAATAAAGACGTCAAAACTTGCCTTGAGATGTTGGGAGTAAAACCGCCGTCTTCACCAACATTACACCCATGTGCACCATATGTCTCTGTAATAACTGCCTGCCTTTTAAACATAAGCAACAGACATTTTTTCTTTTCGGATAAAGTAATTGAGTTCATTGCATCCAGGGGGATACAAGAAACAGTACAAAAACAGGATTAACTCCTTAGATAAAATTGAAGGAGCTAATGAAGTCGATCAACAAATTTATATCATTTACAGCATTCACTATTCTTCAGCAGAAAAGATTCAAAAGACAATTTGCTTTGTTTGTAGGACTGAAAAACGAAAGGACTGGAAGTGGACTCTCCTTCAAAGCATTTCATGTTTCTTTCCAATTGTAAGCAAAGACTATTGATATAAACACTTCAAACGTAAACTAGATTTAAGAAGTATTATTCAGATAATATATTTTTCAACAAATATAACACTGTTACTGAGTAGTAATTGATGAGAAGAAATATTGGACCACAACACCAGTAGAACCTCAACTCTGAATTCTTCTGAGTAGTATCACATGTGGATATCATAGAAGGGTATCTAATATGCCAGCATGTACAGACTGCAACTTATATACTTTGGGCAAACAGAAATTATTTCACCATTATCCTATTCGTAAATTTTATCACTATTGTTGTTTCCTTTACTTTTGTTGTCAATACTTTTGTTTTCTTCGATATTTTCACCATAGTTTGTTTTACTCTAGTATTTTTTTAAATCTGTTTTCGAAAAAGCTTTTCTTGAGCTGAGGGTCTATTGAAAACAACCTCTCTACCCCACAAAGGTAGGGGTAAGGTCTACATACATCTCACCCTCTACAAAGTGGGTATATTATTGTATGGGCTAACAGAAATTCTGCACAAGTTACTGCATATTAATCCAGGGTTAAGAGAAGGTTCATGGATAATAGCAGTTGTGCAAGCAAATACTGTGTATCCACAAAATAAAAAAGCATGTCATCACTTTCCTGTTATAATTTAGAAGTGCACTTGACTTGACATTTGCCGTTTGTCTAGAGAAAATATTTGGAATATTTGAAAAGAACTTTCAATTTAGTCTATGTTTTATAATTTGGTCCGTTAATTCAACTTCAACTTGAAATAGAGAGTTTTTAAGTTTGAAAAAACTGGTTTGATAACTGATGCAAGTGAAACTATGGTTTCCAATCAAAAACTTCAACTTTTTTTCAAGTAAAATTCATGTCCAAACACAAAACTTCCAAATACCCTTAAAACTTCAACTTCATAAAATTATTCTTTTCAAACTTGAACAAAATATTGTTTGAGAATTCTGGCATAAACATGAGAAGACATAAGGCCAATAAGACAAATGTACTTTGTGTAATCAGTTGATGAGCAGTTTAAACTTCCTTCATGAGGCAGAGATAGACTATCAGAATAACAGGTTAACAAATATTTTAGTTGAACTAATTCACCTTCAGGTGATGATATGTCTCTGAACCCATTTGTAAAGCTTCCTCAAATGTGTTTGATCCCACTGGAAGAATCATTATCTCCTGTGAAAGTTAAATATCAAATTTCAGATATTATTTACAATTTAGAACATTATGGGGTCAAAATAGATATGCCATATCAAGATGCAAAACATTGAAGAAATTGATAGAACATAGTGGCAAAGTAGCTCAAGGAAGTATCTATGGCGTAAACAAAAGCGAAAGTGGGAAATGCATTAGGTAATAAGTTAGCATTCATCATTCTAAGCAGACAAAGGTCTTATAACCTTCATTTGAAGTTACTTTTGGTCATTGGAAGTGACTATTTATGATAAGACGAGACTGGACAGTTTCTTTCATAATCACATTATGATTCTTTAAATCAGTCAACAAAAGTAACTTTCATATGTATATGTTACTGACTTTTAAAAAAATGTAATTTCTATATGTATCTTAAACTCTCTTATGTAAATGTCAGCAACTCATCTACATGTCAAAAATAGGTGCAAGTGCAAAACCAAGAAAAACAAAAAGATTGTGGGTGAATAGTGAGAGAATCAAAGAAAAAAAGAACAAGTCAGTATCATTAACCCAAAACCAATGTACAAAAAGATTGTGGGTGAATAGTGAGAGAATCAAAGAAAGAGAGAACAAGTCAGTATCATTAACCCAAAACCAATGTATAATCTTTTCAATAAAACTTAATGAAAAAATAGCATTTCACTGGCTTGTTCTTCTTGCTCTTGGCAGTAGGTACTATTTCAAAGATAATAAATCAACACCACTATGAAGAACTTGGGAGCAATCATTGTGCAGGTCTTAATATTCTAAGCAGATGTACAATAGACTGCAGGTTTACCTGAATAGCCAAGTTGTTTCCACCATGCTTTCCTCCACTTATGAGAGTAAAGACCGGAACAGGAAGAAGCGGGCTTGTTTGACCAGAAAGATCAGCAATGTGTTTGTGAAGAGAAACCTGAAGTTCTTTGACTGATAAGCTACGTAATCCAGTGAAGATTATCATGTTAGGTATACTACTGAGGAAGTATGCTTGCCTCTTTTTCAGCAGCTCCAGCTTTGCAAGCAGCTATGGAGACAGCTAAAATAGCATTTGCTCCAAGTTCACTCTAGCACAGTGGACAAAGACAAGGTCAATCAGCATGGAAGTTATTATGTCTAGAAAATGGAATATTATTAAACTTGCATATATTGACAAATGAGAAACTTGAGAATAGGCCAATTACAAAGTCAAACTATCATTATTGCAAGAAAATACTTTCTAGTAGACATCATATGAATGGTGCTAAAAAAGGTACACTTGGAGCCAGAGTGTAGAGCTACTTTTCTAAAGCCAGTGATAGATACTTTCTTAACCATAGGACACACACATAAAAAAAGGACAAAACTATGACAAAGAGGACGGAAAGAAGTGCATATGCCCGCTCAAGGGAGCCTAATCAACAAAGGTCTAATGGAAAGGATACTAAAGTTGAATTGTCCATACTATGTTCACTAATTTGGTGAACAGTGAAAGAAAAACTCTTCTGAAAGAAGTAAACTAGTGGATATGACAGGACGGAATGTCAAAGATAGGGAAAGCTTCAGTTGCCTCTAGGTAAAACATCTCCAACTCCAGGCTCCACAAAATTTATCTTTTAACAAAGCAACTCTTGTTTTACACTTTCCTGCAACCCAACAAGTTGAGAAAATATGTATGCTAGTTGCAAGATGACAATTTTTAAGACATCATAAACTGTGCAGGTAGTCTAAAGTAGCATCTATGTACTAGGAGCTTGTTTGGATTGGCTTTTAGCTTTTGTCTTGTAAACCAAAAGTCACAAGTTAGAATCCTTACGTATACCTTTTGGCTTATAAGCCAAAAGTCATAAGTTAGAATCCTAACTTATACCTTTTGGCTTATTTTTATCATTTAGCTTAAAATCAAGAGCTTTAAGCACTTCTTAAATTAGCTCTGTCACTAAAAAAGTGCTTAAGAGCTATTTTGGCATAAAAGCACTTAAACTGAGTCTATTCAAACAGGTTTCTAAGTATCATATTCATAAACTATGCAGGAAATTGATAATATGTAGAGCCACTCAGATTCAGATGATAACCTAAACTAAATAAGTATCAGATTGTTTGAACATTTATACCTTATTTTCCGTTTTATCCAAGTCTATCATGACCTGGTCAATCTGAGATTGAAGAGTTGGATCCATACCAACCAATGCCACTGAAATTTTCTCATTAATATTCTTGACAGCTCTATTCACACTATTTCCAAGATAAGTTCCTTTTTCTCCATCACGTAGTTCAATCGCCTCATACCTGATATTTTAGAACAAAAATCATTACACCATTTACCTTATCTCCAATATAAATTGCAGTGACTAAGTAAATGTTCAAATACAGATCTGCAACAAGCACAAAAAAGACAAATCACACAGAGAGGCTGGATAATATTTTTATTTTCACCATCGCACTTCCAACCTCTATCTTAGTATCTATGTATCTTTTTTTTCTTTTTTTTTTTTTTTTTGCTTTTCACAGGTAGTTCTTATTGAGAAGTAAAAATGAGATATACACAGCATTAGAATCTGAATTCTGAATTAAGACTAGAAAGTACCAACTACCAAGGACCCGTCATTCTAGTCTCATATATAAAAGTTTTTTAGTAAAGATGAACAGGGGAGCTACTCTTGCATGCATCAAAGAAAATTGTTGAGGAGCAAAAGACAAACCAAGGGGTCATTGCTTCTAAGTTTCAACCTGAACAACTATTCATATGAACAAAAAAGGTCTTTGCATGCATCAAAAAGATGGCCTTTGCACTTGATTTATACACGCATCAAACAATCATTATCAACAAAAGAACTTTTCTCCCCATTTCGTGACCTGAATATTACAGGATGGATGTAGATGATTCATATAGCTGAGTCTGAGAGGGGAAGGCTGAGTGGTTAAGGGCCATGAGGAATAGGAGAAACCATATGGAAATCTTGGATAGGAATATTAACGACAAACTTGCTGAACAAATCTGCTCTCACCATGGCGAGTAGGATTAAGTGGAAGAGATATTTACATAGACTTTCATTTAGTCCTTTCGTAAACTGTGCTTCAGAGGTTGTGTTGTGAACTCGTAAGGTGCACAGAAGTTGGCCCGGACGCCACCCACGTACACACACATATTTATAGAAAGATAGAAAAGAATCATATAGACAACAACAACTGATCTGGGATTGAGCAACAGTGATTGATAAATTTCCTTGAGTTCAACAAAAGATCAGATTTGCGAAGGCATGAATAATTTCATGGAATTTGAAATTCGCGACTACAAACAAAAAGAGAAAGAAAAATCTTCTTTAAAGAAAAGAAAGATAGCAAACAATATACATTCCTGAAGAAGAACCACTAGGAGCAGAAGCACACATAAAATAAGATGGTCTTTTCACGAATAAAAAAAACTGTTTTATAATTAAAAAAAAAAGGAATCAAGGGCATTTGCTCACATAAAACAATTCTTATGAAAAAAATAACATTTCCTTCTGTCTGGTACTTCTAGGACAGAGATTACTTGAGTTAACTTTTATCATGTAATGGACCTGAATATAACAGAATAGACTTAAGGGATTCATGTGGCAGGGTCCTCAAGGGGAAGGCGTAGTGGTGGAAGCAGAGACAATATGGAAGGATAAACTTCCATGATCTATCTAAAATTTTATTTCAATCTCAATTAGTTAAGTTAATCCTTTCCAAAACCTGTACTAGATAGGTGGCACTACTAATTAGTCGAGCTGCATGCAAATTGGCTTGAACATAGTCAAACTACGGACACAAATTTACTTATTTAGGATTGAGCTATAGCTGATTAACTAAATTTACTTAGTTCAACAAAGAAACAATTTTGAATTCACCACTACACAAAAATTAAAAAGGAAAGAAAAAGGCATACATTCCAGAAGAAGCACCACTGGGAGCAGAAGCACGGAAGAGTCCTTTGTTAGTATGCAAATCAACTTCGACGGTCGGAATCCCTCTACTATCCAATATCTGCCGGGCTTTCACCTTAGTTATCACCGAAGGTACAGCTTTCCTCATGTGATTCGACTAACAAGCATAGAGATATAGTTATATGAAATTCCATATTTGAATCAAAGCACAAAAATTTCAAAAAAATGAAAAGGATCTTACAATGAAGAGGACGGGATCGGAAGTTTTAGCTCTAACGGCGGCATTGACAGCGTCTTCGATTCTCCGAGATAGCAAGTGCTTATCCAGATATTCCTGCACCGACATTTTCTTCTCCGATTGAATTTTCAGGGAATGAAAGTGAAGATGAAATACCAATTTGGACTGAAAGATGAACTCTGCGTTTTATGTGTAGCCAATCGGAGACTGTCAACTTTGTTTAAGCTCTTTCCTTATTCATTCGTTACGACGTCGTTACTTGTTACTCGATGACGTTGTTTCCCCGTGGTATCATGATCATTAAAACGGGTCAGGATCCGGACCATTATTCAATCCTTTCTTTTATTATTAGTAATATCGACCAATTATAACTTAATTTATTTTTATTTAATCCATTTTAAATTTCAATCAACTTATTTATCATTATTACTCGGTGTATTTTTTAAATTGCAACTCATATATAAGTAGCTAGTTATAGACCATTCTCCAATTTTTTCCAAATCAAACACTAATTATCTTGTGATAAAAAAATTCTACATGAATATAATAATTCAATTGCAAATGTTTTAACAATAGTAATATATTTATTATAATTCTACAGGTTGAACAAAGGTAATGTTGAAATAATACAAATAAGGAAATTAGACAATGTTTGACTATTTATAGGATCATGTTCATAAGCAGCATGTGTGTATATTCACTTTAAATCATATTTCTCCAATACCTTTCGAAAAAATTGTTTATTATAGTAAATTTTTAATTTAAAATAAATATTATAGCTATAATTTTATTTAAATTCAATTCGTCGTAAACACATTGTCATTCATATTTCTTTTTTTAATTTCGCTTGACACTCTCATTTATCTCCCTCACTTTTCTCACTATATAAAAATACAAATGCATAATTATGTTTGTGTAAATCGAGAAAAAACATATACACAAATGCATATATTTCCATCCTATAGACTTAAAATTATGGTAAAACAAATCTTCTTCTGCCCAATTATATCTTTTGCATTTATCTCTCTCACTTTATATAAACACAATTTATACAAATACAATGTATAGTTTGTTTTGTATAAGCGAGATAGATTTGATATACAAATACAAATGTTTTAACTCGGTTCAGTTGTGTAAAAAACCAAATTTTATGCAGATATACAAACACAATCATTGATACATATACATACTAGTTACATATATATAATTATCTAACAAATATATGTATACAATTAATCTCTCAATCTCCACACTCTCTCTAGTCTCTCCCATAATCTCGCTCGCCACTCTAGCATAATACAAAGATATACAAACATGATTTTTTGATTTTAGACACATACACTTGATTAATACAAATCGTCGCAATTTATACATATCTAATGTTATAATTTGCTATGGATCGCAAATAGCAAAACTATAGTTATAGAGCACTATATGATTTTTATGTTTTTTATTTATTTATTCATATATGGTTAATCTATCTCTCCTCTTCTTAGGTTCATCATAATCAACCTCTCGCACTTCATTACTCAAACATTTGACCATCTTCTCTTCATATATCTAAATTAATTTAATTTCACGTCTCTTATCATGTCTATTATGAGACCCACTATCACCTTGTCCATAATATCAAAATATTTCTTCCTGGTAATAAAAATAGAAATGTGAAAGAGTTATAAATGACTTGGCCTGTGTACCCCAGTGGACAAGAGGGTTTCAACAAAATAACTTGGCATAATATATATAATGGATCCTAAATTTGTCGATTAAATTTTAACTTTGACCTTCAACTTTCATAATGCACAAACATGCACTTTAACTATCAAACTTTTAAATAAATAAACATATGAGTCCTACATGGCACAATACACGTAGGACACCACGTAGGACAAAAAATGACATGCAGGACACGTATATTTATTTGTTCAACTTTATATAAGTTTAAGTGTTTACTTGTTCATATCCAAAATTAAAAGATATAAATATGATTCAAAACTAAATTAAATAACACAATTATGTATTATGCCAAATAACTTTTATGTTCATTATGAAAAAAAAAATGGTCGAAGGAGAAATGGCTAGTCTAAAACTTTTTAAAATCCACTTCAACAACAAAAGATGTATGGAATGTAATTAAAAAGAAAAAGTAATAAAGTATGATTTGTGATTTGAGAAGTAGTAAATAACTAATAAAACTTCACCATACTACTAAAATATAAGTCAATTTGTAACCATATTATAAAATTGACATTCAGATATGTGATTTTTATAAGTCAATTTGTAATCATGCTATAAAATTAATATTCAGATATGTGATTTTGAGATGATGGTTCTAAATTTTTTAAATTACAATTTTAATTTATTTTTAAAATGCAAAATTTGACACATAAATTGTATTTTGTAAGAAAATGACTTGTCAATCTAAATTTTGGTGAAGATATTATCCGTATTATATTAAAGAATAACTAATTAATTTTATTGTTGATTAATAGATATCTATACGAATTATATGTATTCGAAAATATATAATCAGAAACATTTATTTCTAAAAAGAACATAAAATATATGTGATGTATCAGGGCGATATTCTTAAATATTTTGATATCTTGTTTATAAACAACGTTTTACTAATTTGATAAGATTTTATAAAAATTGAAAAACTTTGACAGTTTTCACAATTTGTAAAATTTTCAAGTTTATGAAAAAAAAAATTATGAAATTTAAACTCCATTCTATCAATTAGGTTTCATATTACAATTTTAAATTATAATTTCATATTGAATGTCGAAATAAACCCTTGTTCATATCCAAAGCAAATGAGATTTTAAAGAAGTCGAATTGGTCTAATATTTGGTCGATCCGCTATTTACATAAAAAATTATTTAGAAAAATAATTTAACACTTGTTATATTTTAATTAGTCAATAGTAAGTGATCTTGACGCATAAAAGTTGTTAGATGAGTATACTTACAAGACAAATTTGGACAAGATTACGTAATGTCTTTGTCTATTCATAGGCTAAATTTGTAGTATGATAGTATAAAACTGCTTTTTAATTTAGGCTTAAGTCATCTGCAGCCACTCAAAATTGTCCGCATAATTTATTTAGACACCTCAACTAATCCCTATGCCAATTGAACACTTTATTTGTTCAAAAGTCATTCCTATTAGACACAAAATGCTGACATGGCAAAAAACGTGTAATTCACTTTCTTTGAGCGCGTTAATTTATTAAAAATAATATTTTTCCTTTTTTTTCTTAATTTAACCCCTAAGTTAATTTTTTTAAAAATTAATTAACAAAAAAGAAAAGGATAGTTGTCTTCTTCCCTCTTTCTATCGTTTCTTTCACCATTTTTATCTTCTTTTTTTTTTTACACAGCACACTACACTCCCTCCACCTCTCTTTCTCTCACCCTCATCGTTCCTTCATGCTTTCTTCTTTTTTCTTATATCGTTTTTTGTCTCAAATATCTCGAAGTAGTTTCATTTACAATGATAAAAAAAAAAATATGAATAGATTTTTTTGGGCAAAAGTCTGTTAATTTTTTTTTCAATTTTAATAAATAATTTCTAATGTATAAAAGATGAAGACAATGTGTGAAAATTTTAATGCTATTGAAATGAAAGAGAATGCATATAGCTTGAATAGACAACAATGGTGTGTCATTGTAGCTCCATGGAAGAGAAGAAAGAGACGGAGCGACACCAACTCCATGGAAAATTAGAAATGGGTTTCTGAAGAAGGAGGAAGAAAGTGGGGAGGGTGGAGGCTTTAATTAAAAATATTTTTTTTTTAATTTTTTAAAATACTTTATGAATTAATTATATAAAGGTTTTAAAAAAATTAAATGTAATGCCACATGCCATCATATTATTGATAAAATTAATATGAATTTGCGTTTGAGATACATGCGTGTTTATTTTTCAATTGATTGTCAGTTTGTGTCAAATAGGTATAATTTTTTTAAGGTTTAAGTGTTCAATAGGTATATTGCTTAGTTGAGGTGTTTAAGTGAAATATGAGGACAACTTTAAGTGACTATGAATGACTTAGGCCTTTAATTTAATTTGATTGATATACACGTCCTTTAATTCTTTGATGTGAACAAATACATATATATAAAATTGAACAAGTAAAGATATATTTATAAATGGAAAAATTATGCGGTTAAATAAACTTATACTACTTCCTGTCTCCTCCCTCTCTCAATCTGCTTGTCATATATACAAATACATATGTATAATGAACAATTATTTAATCGATATATATATATACAATTTACCTCTCTCCCACTCTCTGCCCTCTCTCTCGCCTCTCTCCTCCTTCTCCCAATCTCACTCACCTCTCTCCTCCCTCTATCAATCTCGTCTGTCATATAAACAAATACATATGTATAATATACAATTATCTAATCGATATACATATACAATTCGCCTCTCTCCCATTCTTTACCCTCTCTCCTAGTCTCGCTCGAGTCTCTCCTTTTATAACAAGTAGCTATGGATTGTAATTATCAAATCATAATTGTTGAGAGTAATTGAACTATTTTTGAGTGACTATATATGAAAGTTCCTTCTTCGAAATTAAAGTTCTACAAATCAATTTAAGTGTCTCCTATGTGAATTGATAGGTAATACAAGTACCTGTATATGCCAATTTAAAATCAAGGGATATAAATGTTAAAATAAAATTAAGTTAATCATTATTTTGATATATTAGGTCTATATTTGAGTGACTAAATAACAAATTGTGCCAATTTGGTCAACAAAATTTTAGGAAATGACATAAAAAGGTTAAGACAGCCATACCTATGTTACGCTCTTGAAGCGCCAAAATTCGAAATTTAAAATTTAAATCTCGATTCAAGAGCCATATTTTTTTTCTTTAAAAAATAAACCAGAGGCACTAATTATTTTAATTTTTTTTTAGCCCTACATTTCTTCAATAAAGTCTCATTTTCACCTTACAAATCTCAGAACTTCCATTTCTCTTTACACTTTCAAACCTTCCTCCTCTAAAAAACCCTCTCTGTTTCTCAACTTTCTGCTGTGAAAATGCGTGAGATTCTTCACATTCAAGGTGGCCAATGCGGTAACCAAATCGGATCCAAGTTCTGGGAAGTTGTGTGTGCGGAGCATGGGATTGATTCAACCGGAAGGTACCAGGGAGACACAGATCTACAACTTGAGAGGGTGAATGTGTATTAC